TGAGGCTGGTACCCAGCCTTTTGTACTGCTGGGCCGGCCTCTTGCCTACTGGTACCTACCGGCCTAGACCATTGATCTGAATCGACGGTCCAGATTCAAACTGGTTTGGCGCCCAAAAATGTGGCAGCCTCTGAAACGCCGCCGGTTGGTCCTGGGCCGGACCGGTACCGGCCTCTGGCCATTTGGGCCTAACTTGCCCTACCTCAGGCCTATTTGGGCCTGGTCTGAACCGTCGTCCCCCTAGGCCTACCCTGCCTACTGGGAACCGGGCCCTAACTGGGGCCCGTGTGGCTCAGTATGCCACAGTTCAACACCACCGTTCGCTCGCACTCAACTCTGGATCACCCTGAATACTCCCACGCACACTCACTTTGTCACTCACTCGTACACGCTCACTAACTCCTATCACTACAGCGGCTATGGCCGCTCCACCTCTACTAACTATGGCTACGCTATCGTCTCTCAGCCCACTTCGACTTCGGGCAACCTGCAGACCACCTCGCACAAGACGCTGATGCAGTGCTTCTGCATGGCTTATGCAGCAAATGAATGAATGGCTGGGCCCTGCCTCTTGATTTATACTTCTGTAACTCGTTGGTCTGCTCCCTTTCCACCGGGCCCATTGTGCACACAGTCCCTCATGGTACTTGCTTGACTGGACTGCGACTGACTGGGACCGGTACCGCTGACTGCACAGGGTTGCACTGCCGACTCGATGCAGTCGGACTGCCGACTCAGTGCAGTTGGGCTTACCACTTGCCCACTTGCCTCTGGCTAAACGTGAGACACTCGAAAGGCCACTTCCGGACCTTCCGGAAGTCTGTGGACTTGGCCTTTCGAGTACTGTAGCAGCTACGGCCTTGACCTTTCGGGACTGTAGCAGCTACGACCTTGACCTCTCAGAACATCTACAGCTACGACGTCTACAGAGCTGTGACCCCTACTCGACAGACCTACAGATCGAACCCCTACAACTACACAGACCTACGACAGACAACCACCAACTACCAAAACACAGGTCACGGGTTCAAACACTCGGGTTCAACTCGATACTGTACATGGGCAAGGTAAGGTCTGAGGATCGAACTCTAGTGCGCGCATCTGTGACTGCAGAAAGGTGAAAACCGTTTCACAGCCCTTCCCTGATACTTGCTGACTGGACCGGCCTACAGGGACACAGCCTTCTAGAGCCTACAGACCTACGGACTGACTCTAGGCTCAGGTAAAGACTTCTAGAACAGACCTCCCTAGGGCTACTGGTAACAGACTTAACTACTAACCTACAGACCTAGGGATCGAGTCCACCTACCCGACTTACAGCCTAACCTATGATACAGAACAGGTCTCGAGTTCGAATCTCATCCAGGCACAAGGTCAATGTACAGGGTTCAGGCACAAGTCTAGGGATCGAATCTCAGTGTCTGCAAATGTCGGGGCAACTGGGTGAAACCGTTTCAAATTTGGCAAATAATTTTGATTCGACCCTGAGGCAAATGTTGTTCAGTTGATTTTTCTGCACAACATAGTTCTAAAAAAAATTTGCAGATTTTTTTTGCAATTTACATATCATGACTATTTGAACTACGAAAACGACAAGCTGTACCATATTGTATGGACCATTCTTTGATTCTGCATTCATGCGTAGTATTAGGCAAACTATATCTATGGCAAACACGACAATCTCTACTTCACTTAAGCCCTCCAGTGTCAATTCCAAAGAGCCCTGTGCAACTAACTCTTTCACATCCGATGGCCACGGCTGCCCATCTTGGAAAGATAAACATTACTAACCCATAATATATATATATATATATATATATATAAATTATATATGTATATGTGTGTGTGTGTGTGTGAGCAGTTGGTCGGATCCCATGAAAGGGTTACCAGCACATATCGCCTGCTCGTGGGTTACGCGTTTAACTCGCGTGCAACCCACGGACGGCTGATCATGTGACCCACGGATCCAAAAGAGTTACGGGCATATTGTACCCATGATTTATGAGTCCGGAGCAATGAAAACGATGCCATTTTTCACGGGAAAAAAGGAGTAATAAAAAACATCCAGGAGCAGCCCTCCATGACTGATAACCTCCAGCTGATGGGCTCGGTGCTGAAGGATGTCTCAGACAAGACCAGGCATTAATGTTCTAAGCGTTCACAACCTCAAACACATCACCAACCATATGTACATGCATGTTGCTCTTGAATTTGCACCATTGGGTGTAGTCTTCATGATGGGAATTTGGTGGTGTTCTGTTGAATGATAAACCCATAACCGAACCCCTAAACCCTAAACCCTAAGCCCTAAACCTTTAAACCCTTATATAACCCTTAACGCTTCAAGATGGGGTGTAGTCTTCAGGATGGGAATTTTGGTGGTGATCTGTCGAATGATAAACCCGTAACCGTAACCCCTAAACCCTAAACCCTTAACCCTTCAAGGTGGGGTGTAGTCTTCAGGATGGGAATTTTGTGGTGATCTTTTGAATGATAAACCCGTAGTCGTAACCCCTAAACCCTAAACCCTTATATCGTTATGTAACCCTAAACCCTAAACCCTTAAACCCTTATGTAACCCTAAACCCTTAAACCCTTATGTAACCCTAAACCCTAAACCTTAAACCCTTAACCCTGCAAGTTGGGGTGTAGTCTTCAGGATGGGAATTTGGTGGTGTTCCGATGAATGATAAACCCTTAACCGTAACCCGTAACCGTAACCCCTAACCCTAAACTCTAAACCCTTAAATCGTTATGTAACCCTAAACCCTAAACCCTTAAACCCTTATGTAACCCAAAACCCTTAAACCCTTATGTAACCCTAAACCCTAAACCCTTAACCCTGCAAGTTGGGGTGTAGTCTTCAGGATGGGAATTTGGTGGTGTTCTGTTGAATGATAAACCCTTAACCGTAACCCGTAACCGTAACCCCTAACCCTAAACTCTTAAACCTTAACCGTTAACCCTAAACCATAAACCCTTAACCGTTAACCGTTAACCCTAAACCCTAAACCACGACTGCATGATTTCTCAGTTGTTCAATCCAGCCCTCCTTGACCGTAATTCCTAAGCACCAAACCTGCATTGAATTGCATCTCATTTGTTCAATGCAATTGTAAACCCTAAACCCGAATCCCGAACAGTCAAAACCTCAAACCTTAAAACCCCTAAAGAGGGTGGGGGTGCGGGGTTGGGGCAGGGGTGAAGGGGTGGGGGCGGGAATGGTGCGGTCGGGGCAGGGGCGGGGGTGAATGGGCGGAGGAGGGGGTCAGGGATCCCTGCGCCGGGGGTCCAGGGGTCCGACCCCCAACCTCGGCTCGGCCCCTGGGGATCCCCAGAGTGACAACCCTGGTTGTCATGTGTTCAATGCAACGCTAAACCCTAAACCTTAGGTCCTAAACCAGCATTGCCCCATTCTCAATTGCGTCGTGCAATGCATGTGGTTTAGGATGTGGTCTAGGAGGAGTCGTCACCACATGTATGGGCATGTGTGATTGTGAAGGCGAATTGCAGAGATGAACTCCACCAGGAAAGCCTGTAGGTGTCAACGAAAACTTTTACTGTCTGTTTCAGGGGTGCGAACTAGCAATTGGACACTTTTAGAAGGCACTAGGAAAATTTCCCCTACTACTGCCCCTCTAAAACTTCGTGGCCAAAGGTGCCCCTGTAAAAGTGGGGGCATACGACTAATTTTCCCCACATGTAAAAGTTGCAAATTTTTTATTTTCCTCTCTGCCCAAGTTACAATGAATTTGAATAAAACAATATATGCGGTGTACAGCATGCGCCGACTTTCTCGCCGGTTTACCGAGATGCCCCTCAAAAGCGTGCCATAAATTGGTTACGCGGCTCTGCAGAGGCGTGCAGGGTGGCAAGGCTTGAGACTCCTACTGTCTTCCGCCGAACACAACGCACCTTCATTTTGGCGGTACCTGACCGGGAATATGGCTTATATACACTCATTTATCAGGGTGCATTATGTTCAGGGGAAGACGGTAGTTGGTGAAAACTATATACAAAACAAACAGTCTGGCACACTGCCCTATAGCAGGATGGGAGGTGGACTATGATGGGAATACTTCCTAATTGGGAAAAAAAAGATACCGCGAGTGGGTTTGCCGTTGTGACGAGTGACTTCTGCGACTCTGTGTCTCCCCTTGTGTGTGTGAGATGCTCTACCTTGCTGTAGTATGGCACAGCCGGCCATCTCTTGCCTTTTTTCTTCCTTTTGTATTTGGAATTTTGGAGTGTATTTTCTGGCTGTGACTGTCATTTCCTATTTTGTGAGGGTTTTGCTGGCTTATGATCACATGTGAACCTGCAGTCTGCAGAGTTTTGCGTGGGCCGTGGGTGTGAGTGATGGTCTGCTTTGATTGTCATCAATACCCTTGAGGGTATAGTGGCCATACCGTGGTTAGTAGTAGCCTACCGTCTTCACCCGAATAGAACACCCGGTAATTATCGCCGTATCTGGACTGAAAGTCACACCATATACAGCTATAATCACCGGGCGTTCTATTTGGGTGAAGACGGTAGCTTGAAAGAGAGCGGCACTGAGTGCGGTTCCTGGCCGTTAATGCTTAAACACTTTGGAGTATCACTCCTGAGGGGACTCTGTAGACTGCAGAGGGTTCGGGCTCCTGAGGACTACTAAACCGTCAAATGCACGATCTGTATATGGCCAGAATGGATGTCCACGTACGCATGTCTTTTGTATTCGAACCCTCACTCCTTGGACAAGTACTATATGTATGACTCGTAGTTTGTGTGTATCCAAACTTTTCCAAAGCCTCAGTCCCACAAAAAAAAAAAAGAAAAAAAAAGGCCTCAGTCCAAGGAACTACTCATCAAAGAATGTTACCAATACCAACGGTCAGATGCATAATCTTTATACGGGCGGAATGAATGTCCAGGTACGCATGGTGGGGTTTTCTAGATGTGTCTAATGAGACCCTAATAAGGGAGATTCTCTGCGATTCTCTCTGATTGCTTGCATGCAGTGCCTCGACGCAGGGTACAACCAAATCACCAGCTTCCCGGAATTCGTGTGCGAATTGTCGGCGCTCCTTGTACTCCGTCTCAGCAACAACCGCATCAGCACCTTGCCGACAAACATCGGACAGCTGAAGGAACTGAAAGTGAGTGAGTCTGGAGTCCCATCAGGACCTTAAAAAAAAAAAAAGTGAGTGATTCTAGCAAGTAGTAGCAGCAAATTGACTTACCGTGAGGGCACGGGTGCGCAGCCTGAAGTTTGTATATGGTTGATTGATAAAGGAGGCGTTATTGGTGAGGTTTAGAAGTAGGGTGAGATACATCTGTTGCAAGTGTCGTTTCAACCTGTGCCAAAGCCTGCGCACTTTTGGACTTCTCCGCCCTTGCCTTCGCCCCCTGTAGCATGCAAGTGGCAGTTATATAAAAAGAGAGAGAGAGAGAGAGAGAGAGAGAGAGAGAGAGAGAGAGAGAGAGAGAGAGAGAGAGAGAGAGAGAGAGAGA